GTTGAGCTGAACTGCCTTGTTAAATCTCAACTGCCGTATAGCTGAACTGGGTGGTCTGGTGGGGGACTGTGACACACTGGCTTTGAGGAAGAGGTACAACCTCGAAAGGCGTCAGCCACTAGCTATCCAGAGGTTCACAGTCCCCCACCAGACCACCCAGAGGGGTTCCGGATCCACTCTGCATCCCTTGCGACATGCTTCTCATTTTGATCTGATTTTACATTTCTCTTGTGAGTATTTTACAATTTATAAATAAATCCCATTTTTAAGGTAATACGCCAGGCCTGTGCGCCCTCTTTTTGTTTCTTATATTCAGCTTTACCCATTGTGCATAGTAGTGGTAATAATAAATAGAATGAATGGATTTCATTTGGTATGCTTCATTTATGTTAAGGACAATAAATATCAGACTGTGTATGACAAGAGCAAGGGGGCATGTAAAGGAATGGAGAGGGGGAAAATGTTCACCCTGCCTTCCTTCACATGGCAATTTCTTTCAAATCTTTTTTATTGGGATTTCAAGTACAGCAGAATAATCAGAGATAAATTGGAAAACAAATACAGGTTTATCCAAATGCCATATCTTAAGTGCATTGTTATCTATGAAATCAATCATATATAGGCCCAATGGCCTCACAATGTGTCAGAAATAAGATATACAATATTAGCATATTTGACTCCCAATCCTATAGAATCATAAGATTTTACGTAAGGCACATATAAGCTGCATAATACACTGAATTCCATCACTCTCATCCCTGAAGGACAGGCAACAGAAAGCACAACCTCCAGGTTTTGATAGTAAGAAGAGAAGAGATAAAAAAAAAAATATATATTATATATATATAAAGAGGGGATCAGGGGAGGCAAGGGAAACATAAGGGGTAAGGGAAGAAAAAGCAAGAAACAAATCAGAGCACCAAATCATCTGCACAAAAACCAGAGCTACTAGTATCATCTTCAAGAGCATATGTTCATATTATGATTCATAAACATCTTATTCCAACTAGCCCATTTCCAATCAAATTTCTCCATTTGCTGGGTATTAAGGGCCACAGCCTTTTCACATACATAATGTAACTGTACTCTTTGAATTATGTCGGACATAGAGGGAATCTTTGTTGATTTCCATGCAGCCGCAACAGCTATTCTGGATGCAATAAGAATATGGCCAATTATTGTTCTAAAATTGGGCAGGAAATAGGTTTAGGGTGAGATTAAGCAAAGCCAGATGCGGTGCCAGAGTGGTTATCGAGCCAGAAATCTGTGAGATAAGAGAAAAAACTGCTTGCCAAAAGTTAAGTAGGCATGGACATTCCACACATAATGTGAGAGTAAAAATTACCTTCCCTACCACAATTCCTCCAGCACAATGACGACACGTCTGGATACATTTTAGCCAATTTATATGGGGTAAGGTAGCTACGATACAAAGTTTTTAAAAAGAACAATCCCAGTGATTTGTACATTTTGTAATGCGTAGAGTATTGCACAGGGCCACATCCCATTCGTCTCGGGTGAAAGATCTTTGGAGGTCCCTCTCCCCTTACTCACACAACCCAGAATAGAAGTATCAGTCTCATAATGTTAAAGTTTATAAAACCATGAGATACCCTTTTTTAATTTTGATAGGGTTAGTTAACGCCTGCCATTGTTTCGAATCTATCTCAAGCCATGTCTTCGGATGTATACTGTGGAAACCTCCGATTTGTAAAAATTGATATAGACCTTTACTTGGTGTAGTGTCAGCTATCTCAGCAAAAGTGCTATATCCTAATTCCCTTAAAGGGTAAGTATTAAGGTTGGGAATAAAGAGTTCGTATGGCCTCAGTGGGATGTCCACATGCAGTTTTGGATAGGAGTTTAACTTATGAAGACCCGCCATCCATGCTTTAAGTGTGACATGAATAGTCGGGAGGAGTGTAGGTATAAGATTGGATGTGATTGACCTAGCCAGCAATAGTGCCCGAAGATCTTTATTAGGAACCACACTTTGCTCTATTTGTACCCACAGCTTATCAGATGGGGTTAGCCAAGCTGATATTTGGTCAAGGATAGTTGCATAATAATATGTAGAAAGCAGCGGGAGGCCTAACCCTCCTTTAGACCCATGTTTAGTAAGGGACAAAAATGGAATCCGTGGTTTTTTCCCTTTCCAGGTGTATCTTTTAAGTGCCACCTCCAATTTACGGAAATAAGCAGAAGGTATAATAATTGGAATAGTTTGAAAATAGTATAATATTTTAGGAAAGATCAACATCTTAAAAAGGCAGCTATTCTGCCTATCCATGATGATTCAAATTTTTCAAGTATCTGTAGCTCCACTAAAATAGATTGATATAGTTTTTCATAATTATCTTTAAATGTATTGGAGGTCGGGGCTGATATACAGATACCTAAATAGTCCAATTCTTATGAGTCCAATTATAGGGAAATTTATCTTTAAGGTATTTCAAAGGTCCCCTGGAAACAGATATTGGAAGGGCACAAGCTTTGGTGATATTAAGTTTATAGTAAGAAACCGCACTGAAGGTCTCTAAGGAAACAGAGATTTCTGTAAGGGAATTCACTGGATCAGTAACCATAAGAATAACATCATCTGCAAATAGTCCAATTTTGTGGGAGGTATTTGCTATTGGGATGCCTGAGATTCATGGTGTCAGAGCCTGGAATCGAATCTGGGCCTTCTGGGGTGAGAGACGGTGTTTCTTTTCGCTGAGCCACCTGGAATGCTGGACAGCTCCCTTGACAATTCTTTGGATGATCCTGCCTTTGCCCTGTTTTGTCTTGAACCTTGAACTCCTTGCTCCTCCCATGAACTTCCTATAAAAGCCATGTCTCTGCACTTCCTGGTTGCCAGATTATTGTGCCTTACCAGCCAATATCCCGCTTACTGTTCCTGCTGCCATCTTCATCTACGTTACCGACCTTTGGCTTACTACTGACTACGATTCTGCCTCATCCTATCTACTACCATTGGTGACCGACCCTTGGCTTGTGACTGACTCCGCTTCTGTTTGATCCCTGGACTGTTTGATCCGCTTTTGGTTTCCAGCCTACTCATTCCCTGGTGGGGTGATCCTGAGATCTGCGACCTGGCATTCACACGCAGCCAAATCCATCTCCACCATTAGGAGCTCTGGGGAAGACCGGTGGATGCTTAGACCCCGCACCTCAGGTGAGCCTGCGTCATTCCCAGGGTGGGCCGCTGGTGTACCAATCCTGCTGGTTTCAGGTAAGCCTAACAACTGCTGTAGCAACTGGTCTCTGAACCTAACCCAGATCGTGACACATGGGTTATTTCTAATTGCGGACGCTAATGGTTCCATCACCAATGAAAAAATAATAGGAGATAAGGGACATCCCTGTCTTGTTGCATTAGTGATACTGAAGGGTGCAGATAATGCATTAGACATAAATACTTGCGCAGTAGGGACCGTATATAAAGCCATAATAGCCGATTTTATAAAGCCACTGATACCAAATTTAGATAATGTAGCATCTAAGTATTGCCAATGTACTCTATCGAAAGCTTTTTTGGCATCCAATGCCAAAAACACAGCCTGAGATCCTCTCGATTCAGTCAAATGCATCAGGTTGAGAATTCTGCGCGTTCCATCTCATGCTTGATGTCCCTTAACGAAGCCCACTTGGTCTGCTTTAATTAGCAGAGGAGTGATTTTTAAAAGACGAGTTTCTATAATTTTAGCGTACATTTTAAGGTCCGTGTTCAATAAAGAAATAGGCCTAAAATTTTGAGGGCGGTCTGGAGTTTTCCCCGGTTTTGGCAAAGTGACAATGATAGCCTTTAACATCTCCGATGGGAAAGTGGACTTAGATATCGCTTCATCAAAGATCGTTTTAAGGTGGGGTACTAAAGTGGATTGAAATTCCTTATAGTACTCAGCAGTAAAACCATCAGCCCCCGGGGACTTCCCTTTTGGTAAAGCTTTAATAGCTGCGATTATTTTCACTTTCTAGAATAGGTTCGTTGAGCCCCTCTAAAGTATGGCGATCTAACGTAGGCAGTAAACGTTTTCAAAGAATTGATTTATTAGCTCTGGTGTAGGTTGTTTAGTATGCGGGTCATCTTTGAGGTTATACAACTGGGAGTAATAAGAGCAGAATGCCGCCGCTATGCTATTAGGATGATATGTGTTACTGTTTGATATTGGGTCTATAATAGAAGCTAATTTGGATTGTCTAACAGCCAAATATCTCGCCAACAATTTACCCGCCTTGTTCCCTTGAGTGTAAAAGGTAGCTTTAGCTTTCTTCAAATTTTGGCCATGTCCCCAAGATAAGAGGGTCCTAAACTCAAGTCTAGTTTCTTGAAGTTCTCGCAGGACATTGGGGGATAAAGATTTCTTATGCTTATATTCTAGCCTAGCTATCTTATCGATTGTATCAGAAAAGATTTGATTCCTCTCACGCTTTGCTCTGGAAGCTAACTTTAGAAGCACACCTCTACAATACGCCTTATGAACTTACCACACAATAAATACATTAACATCAGAAGCAGAATTGATATCAAAGTATTCCTGTAAAGCTTCAGTAAGAGAAGATTTGAAAGTAGAATTGCAGAACATAGAGACATCATTACACCATAAAAAAACAGGAGAAAACTTTAAAGTCTCTTCAATACTTAGTGAAATAGGTGCATGGTCCAACCATGTCATCGGATGAATTTCTGCCTTGATACAATTTTGCAATAAGTGAAAATCAAGGCAGGCACCGAGTCATCTTTGTAATGTACAGCGCTGAGCGAACTATTGGCGCTTTATAAATACTGTATAATAATAATAATCTGGCAAGGCAGTGGGCACCGAGTCATCAGGCATGACAGCGGTCATCGGGTCACCAGGCATCAGGTCATCTGGCTCGACAGCGGGCACCGAGTCATCTGGCAAGGCAGCGGGCACCGAGTCATCTGGCAAGGCAGCGGGCACCAAGTCATCTGGCAAGGCAGTGGGCACCGAGTCATCTGGCAAGACAGCGGGCATCGGATCATCAAGCAAGACAGCGGGCACCGAGTCATCTGGCAAGACAGCGGGCACCGAGTCATCTGGCAAGACAGCGGGCACCGAGTCATCTGGCAAGACAGTGGGCACCGAGTCATCAGGCATGGGATCATCTGGCTCGACAGCGGGCATCGGGTCACCAGGCATCAGGTCATCTGGCTCGACAGCTGGCATCGGGTCATCAGGCATGACAGCGGGCATCAGCTGGGTAGAGACATCAGGCTGAATTGCGGGTACTGAGGCACCAGGCTGAACCACGGAAGGCGGGTTCTCAGACGGCAGGCTGACCGGTTTGGATACTGGCGGGATGGTACTGGTTGGAAAGAATTTTCTCTTTTTTCTGGTTTTAGTTACTGGAGCACTGTAAGTAAACGCAGGTCTATAAATGAATGGAGCAGCTGAAGACAGAGAAGAGCTGGAGGATGGAACAGAGGAGGGAGCAGTTGCTACAGAGGACTTCTTTACAGGGTTAAAGAAAGGATAGGTGCAGCGAGTGGGAGCAGGGGGCTGGTATGTGGTAGTTAGCAGAGTATACTGGGCCGTCACTGGGGGTGCTGTCGGGGATGCAGGAAGAGTACCTTGAGCAAAGGAATGATGTTGCAAGCTGACTGAGGCTGGGTGCAACAAATCTGTCCATGTCTGCAGTACTGGTTGAACAAAACTCAGCTTACACATAGCCTGTCTGACCAAAGACTGCACTGCGTTTATGCAATCCATAAGCACATGTGATGGACATGCTGCATAGTGCTCATGGAAACAATCCGGATCATCCTCCAACAACCATACCAGTGATTCCACTTGATCCACACTAAATGGGAAAAAAAGTCATTCCTGCTTTCAGGGGTACAGGACCGAGCCAAAACAGCACAAACCTGGATCAATGGCTGCATCTCAGAAAACTCTGTGCCCTGATCTACTAGGCAATGAGCGATCCTTATACACTCTAGTAGTTGATCCCTGGGATACTCCTTCAGAGTCTGATAAGCATAGTCTTTGTCACTGTTATGATCTGCCAGGGGGTGCCTCAGGCTGCCAACTGACAGACCTACTCAGAGCGTGGGGTCTAAGCCCGGGCTGTGCTTTCACCAGAGCCCCTGATGGTGGGGATGGACTTGAAACAGTCCCGGGCCAGGTCACGACCTCCGAGCAGGCCCGCCAGTGGCTGAGGAGACCTTTGGGGACAGGTACCGGGAGAGCCAGATATGAAGAGGATGGCGGCCCCAGCAGGGTAGTAACGGATCGTGGGCCCGTGAGGGTAAGCGGGGTACAGAATCGGTAGGCGAGAGTAGTCGGGTCACACGCAGGGTCAGCAGGGAAGTCAATCCGTAGAATGGTCAGGGCAATCCGGGTCAAACGCAGGAGCAGGCAGAATAGTCAGGACAATCCGGGTCAAACGCAGGAGCAGGCAGAGTAGTCAGGACAATTCGGGTCAAACGCAGGAGCAGGCAGAATAGTCAGGGTCAATCAGGGTCACAAGATAGGTGCAGGAACTCAGGATCACAGGAAGACCTTGCGGCAATCTGTGACAGTGCAGGGCATCTTTAAATAGTGCGCCCTGCACTGTCATTGGCCGGCTAGGACACGCGCCCCGGCTGTCATTGGACGCCTGAGGCGCGCCCGCGGCTCCTACTGCGCATGCGCGGCGTCCTGTCAGCCGCGGCTCGCCGGGACCCTAGTGCCTGTGTCCCGGCGCGATCTGCCGCCAATGCGCATGCGCGAGGGACGGAGCCGCGATCGCGGACCATGGAGCCGCGATCCCTGACAGTCCATCAAACACTAGCAGAGATAAATACACCACCTCATCAAGATCCATCCTTCCCAGCAACAATAAGTCAAGATGGCTTCCCTGTGCAGCCACTTCTGGTCAGGATTGGCCTTGGTGTAATGTCAGGGCCCCTGGTATGACCAGAGGTGTGTGGACTGACACAGGGAAAACGCAGGCTTCAGATATGGTATAAACAATATAATTTATTAAGACTAACAATACAGAACGCAATGCAAAACTAAACATAAACACAGTGCAAACAAACCAAACCACCCACCGATAACAAGACATACAATACAAAGAGTAGTCAGGCAGGCCGGGTCAGTAGCAAACGGGAAAACAGAGTACCAGGAACAGGTGGGAGAGTGGTCGGGGTCACAAGCTGGGTACAGTAACTCACGGGCAAGCGCGGTACAGAGGGTCAGGCAGAGAATAGTCCCAGGGTCACAAGCCAGGGATCAAGCAGGAGAAGTCCAGCAGAGGTCAGGATCAGGCAGGGATCGGCAACAAGTCAGACAGGAACAGGAATACAGATACAAGGTACAGGGGCCCAAGGAAAAACACACACACCAAGGCCCTGACTGTGAGTCTGGCCATTCCTTAAAGTTACAACCCCTGCAATCAGCTCAGGTGTTTGGCTGATTGCAGGGATGAGTCTCTGATTGCTGAGAGCACCCGCTGGCCAGCCCTGGTACTGCAGCCCACAAGGCAGGTGAGTCCCACCATTATTGGCAAGTCCCAATTCCTGACAGGATGGGGGAAGACCCCAATGTGACAGGGGTCCCCTTACGCTGGCCCAGGGTCCTCCAGAACAGAAATGGATAGTCCCAGCAGCACCCCACCGACTGCAGTGGCAACAACCACCGCAAGCCCCCCAAGCCCATCAGGGCCCCCGCGAACACCCAGAGGGAAGATGGCCCCCCCGTCCAGGATATCCAATGGGGGTGGGCCCCGGATCCCGGATCACTGGAGGGGGAAACCGGTGGCCAGTTCCTGCCAGCCCCCCTGCCTCCTGTACTCACTGTGGCCGGGATGAAAGGAATCCGGGTCGGAGGAGTAGGCTTCACCTAGACGTCCGCTTGCGTGCAGGGAGGTCCAATAAATTCCTCAAAAGGAGAAAAGTAGCAGAAAAAGCGGCCGAACCTTTACCTTCAGTCTTTCGGAGGATGCAGACGTGTGCCTCTTAATGCATCTCCTGAACGAGTCACTCCACGTGTCCTGCATTGGTATCAGTTTGTGGTCCGCGACACCTGGAGCGCCCGGATCATGCGCCAGATTATGCGGCTGCCCCTACAGCATGCCGAGCACAAAGTCACGTCCAGCTACAGAGATCAGGGGGGCAATATCAGGCGCTGAGCCCCCCTCTAAGAATGGTCAGAGGGACAAACCGAGCTGGGGATACTCTGGATAGTTGCGGAGCCCACTCGCCGAATTTGAGCTAGAACTGCGCTTTTTAATCTGACAACTAGCCGATGTTTTCAATCTGAATCTTGCATTTTTAATCTGAACTGCCGATTAAGAGCTTACACGTGGCTGTCTTGTTCAGTTCAATCTGATAAGCTGAGACTCGCTTGACCTCACCACCAAAATGCTGAAAACAGCTTGGATGAGTTGCTACGAATGCTAAGCAAGAGGACGCCGAACGAGCCTGCCACTCAAAACACAAGAAACGTCCAACCTGCCCCTCAAAAAAAAAATTTCTTATTCAGCAGTCATCAGCGGGGGAAAATTGGGAAATTTTAATTTGTTGGGCCTTTAAATTTTTTTTTTAAAACTCGGGGCCAAGGGCCCCGGTCCTAAGCCCTTTTGGGTGCGAAAAGGGGGAAGTTGGGTCCCTGGACAGAAACCCCCGGGCCCTGTAAAAAAAAGTGGCCACATTTTATTTCGAGTGAAAGGAAAACGTTCCCATGCCCCTGGGACGGAAAATTTTCCTCCCCTTTGCTCCCGGTGGGGGGAGGGGCGAGGATTTTCCAATGCTGTTAAGGCAAAAAAACAGTAAGCCATGGCCAAATAAAAAAAGGCTGTTTGGTGACAGAAAAGGGGGGGGGGGCCCTGATTGATTTCCCCCTTTTTAAAAGGGGCACCAAACGGGTTTTGCTTTTGGGTTGAAAGCGGGGGCTCTTGAGGCTCAATCTGCGATTGGGAAATTTAAATTAAAGAGGGTTTGGTTTTTTGGGGGATCTTAAAAAGGAAATTTCCCCCTTTTAAGCTGCAGCGTATGGGGGAAGGGGGGGGACTTCTGGGTTTTAAAGGGGTAAGAAAACAAAAAGCCCCCCCTTCCCAAAACCTACAGCACCCCACGTTCGGGGAGGGCCCAGCGATAGCAGACGGGGAAACCCTCACGGCATTTCGGGCGTTCCAGGGGAAAGGACCAGCAATCACAAAGGGGGAAGACCAGCGATCGGGAAAAAGGGAATTTTCTTTGGTATAACCACGGGTTTTCAAGGGTAGGAAAAACCGGGCATGTTTGCGGGGCCCTCCCGGGCAGGGCCCAAGGTAATTAAAATGCCTAGCTGTAAATGGAATCCCCTGGGTTTAATGTGAATGCCCTTTGATCTAAATTACCTTTAAGGGAACTGCCTTTTTTAAAATCTAAATTTGGGCTTTGGGAGGAACTTTTCTTGCTTAACCCAAAAATTGGGTTGTTTAATGTGAACTGCCTTTTGTAATGGGGAACTCCCTTTTTTTAAAACTAAATTTGCCTTTTTTTTAATTTTAAACTGCCTTTTTGGGCTAAATTTGGCCTTTTTTTAATCTGAATTCCCTTTGTTTAAATTAAACTGCCTTTTTTAAAATTCTAAAACTTCCTTTGTATAAGGGTTGAACCCCGTTAAAGCTGAACAGAAAAATTGTTTAATCTAAGTTTGCCTTGGGTTTTGATTGAACTGCTTTTTTTGAGCTAAAACTCCCTTTTTTGAGCTGAAATTTGCCTTTTTTTTGAGTTGAACTGCCTTGTTTAAAGAAAACGGGCCCTTGTTTTGAGATGAACTGCCTTTTTTGAAAATAAAACCTGCCTTTTTTTGAGATGAATGCTTGTTTAAAGATGAACTGCCTTTTTTAATTTGAGCTGGTTTTTTAATCTGAACTGCCTTTTTTAAATTGAATTTGCGTTGAGCAAAATTTTATTTTTTAATATAAAAACTGTTTTATAAACCCTCCTTTTTTTTTTTT